TTCTTCTTTTATTCTCTTTATTCTTTGTTCCTATTCTGATTTCAGGATTTACTATACTGATTTAATTTGCCACATACTCATCATCTTCCCAACCTGTCCATAGCTTCTTGAAGGCAGACAGTACTTACTCCATATCCTTAGGGTAAGGCCTGAAAGTAGTCACTTATAATGATTTTAGAATGAACAGGGAGTATAGTAGAAACTCTGAGAAACACAAACCACTGAGAAAAAAATGTTTACATTCTGGAAGTCCCAATGACCTAGATCAGTGTGGGCGAGCCCCTACCACGCATGCCTCAGTGAGCGCGCAGGTGAGAGCCACGCTGCCCACCACCATCACGCAGCAGTGCAGCGTTCAGGTTTAGCTCCATGTTGGCACTTTACAATAAGTGGGTTTTGGGTTGAAGTTTGGGCTCGCATCTCTAAAAGGTTCACCATCACTGACCAACACCTTTTCTGGACAAAATAAGGTCAACAGAGGTTAAGGCAGAATATAGACTCAAATCAGATTCTGGCTTTTAGATGTATGTATCTCTTTGCTCCAAACTTAAACTTTCGAGCATGAGTGCGGGTGAAATACTCTTACTAGTTCTGTGTAAACAGCTTTTCTTTATACTGTATAAACATTGTATGACTTCAGTATTTCAGAGAGGCTTTCAGTAAGATTTTTATATTTGAACATTGTACACTATTTGCTTTTGCAGTTTTATATTTCAGACTAATAGATTTGCATAATCAAGAATACTTATTATCTCCCTTCTTTTTTTGAGACCAGAGTCTTGCTGTATAGTTTAGGCTGCCCTTGAGCTCACTGTATAATACAGTCCAGATTGGCCTCAAATTTGTAGCAATCCTCCTTCCTTAGCATCCCAAATGCTGGGATTACAGGTGTGCACCACCATGCCCGACATTTTTTTATTTATTGATTGACTGACTGATTGGATACAGGGTCTCACTCTGTGGCTTGGACTAGTAGTGAGCCTCCTGTCCCAGCTTTCCCAGTGCTGGAAATATAGGCATGTACTACCATACCCAGTTTGGGTGGCCGGCTCTATGTGTGGAGCCAGCATGGCATGTGGTACTGGAGATTGAACTCTGGTTCTCTTAGACTGCTGAGCTACCTCCCAAGCTCCTTGACTTTTATTATGCACTTTAAAAAAAACCCATGTATTTAGTACAGGGTCTATAGGGTCTCACTACACAGATCAGACTATAGTGATCCTCCTGTTTTTAGCCTCCCAAGCACTAGGATTACAGGCCTGCACTACCACACCCAGTCTCATTAGTTGTTGCAGCTCACCTCAGGGGTGGGGCCGCCACAGCATGTCCCTCTTCCCCCATCACCTGAATCTGCCTAAGTTATTATTCACTTTTAAAGCTGATTTTAATAGTGAATAAAATCACAGAATTTTAAAGACAGAAATTAAATCCAGAGTCCTTATTTAGCTATAGGGATGAGAAAAGTGAAGCCTGAAGGAAACTGTTCAAGATTTTATAGTCCTTTAGATATGGGGGTAGGTCTAGACACTAGTCATCTGATTCTTAGTACAGGACTTCTATAAAGACTAGCTTTTCAATGACTAAAATAGATTATCTGTCATTTTACAATCAACCATATCTTATAATTTTAAAAATTTTCTACATAGTGATATCTCCATAAACTTTCTATGAAGGATATGCCTTAAAATGCAGCTAGGAATACTAGTAACCCAAACAAAATGCGGCGAAGCCATGTTAACATGTATGAGAAGGCCCAGACAGCACAGATGTGGGTGGGCATCAATGATCTGGATACACTGCCCATGACCTACATGGCCATAGAAGCTGAAGGGGATGGAGCTGTGCCTGTGGATGCCTGTGAGGTGTGTCAGGAGTGCCACTATCGTACCCAGCTCTTTAGTCTTCTTTATTTTTGCTATTTCACTGGCAGTCCCTCTTTCTGTTTGTTTGTTTTTGGTGGTACTGGGGATTGAACTCAGGACCTTGCACTTGCCAGGTAAGCACTTATTCTACTGAGCTATCTCACCAGCTCCCTCTTTCTGTTTCATCAGCTTTCCTTTCTGCTCTTTCCCTTCTCAGAAAATGAAGGCACTCTGTCCTTATTGTCTATACCTTTTGGCAGATGAATATAAGACACTCTAAATCAACTTTATAAAAAATACATATATTAACCCAATTTAGACATTTATCTTGTATCCTTTTATCCAGACATGCAGAATGAAAATCTTATCAAAAAAAAAAAAAAATGTAGACCTCAGCAGAAAGATAGTAGGAATTGAGCGAGGAGAGAACTTCCCTTTTCCCTAGTCATTCAAAGAACAAAACCTAAAGGCAAACCAAGTATCTATCTAAGGTGCAGAGCATAAAGGTCTAAATGGGTGGTACACAGACCACCCTCCATTGTAAACACAAATGATGAGCACTACTGCTTTAACCTTCAGTACATATCTGGAGCACGAACAATGAAATTTCTAAGGTTTGAGATAATTATTTGACATAGTGATTGGAAATTATAGTCAAAGTATTTTCAAGCCTAGCTTATACATATTTACCATGCCTACGATGTAAAAACATTCACATATCTATGCTTAACACATTACATAATTTGAACCTCAACAATGTATAATGTTTACAAACATCATTTCCAGTCTTCAAAGAAAGAGACTAAGGTTTACAGACATAATAAATGAAACAGCCAGGAGTATTTCTGAAAGCAAACATTTTTTAATTGTAATATGAAACTTAAATAGTAATTTCAATAACATGCATATGTAAATTCCAAGTACCTCACAAGTTAGAAGAGTTATCCGGTTTCCAAATTTCTAAGTAACTATGTTGATATTTTCAAACTCAAATTTCTTTTCCCTCTCTCCCTCTCTCCCTCTCTCCCTCTCTCCCTCTCTCCTTCTCTCCCTCTCTCTCTCTCTCTCTCTCTGGCACCAGGGATTGAGGTCCAGACACTTAGGCCACTGAGCTACATATCTTCATCAAT